GGAAGGAAAAGGCAGAAATAAAGCAAGGATGCAGGATAAGGCTGCAAGAATAGTCACCACCATGGATCCAGCAGTGTCCTGTTGGTCCTCAGTCTTCAGGTCTTCGGTGGTGGGTGCACACAGGTCTGGCCTTGATGGTAGATGCACACTCAGCAAAATTTTCTGAATCCACTGATTAGCAGATCTGCTCAGCTTTAGTTTTTTGCTTTTTTTTTTCCTCTGGTCCCACAGGTTTTGTTGCATCTGGCTTCCAGGCAGGAACATTTGCCTCTTGTCAGTTTATTAGCAATGCAGGCATTGGGTCTGACCTACACAATGGGGCCACAAATGGTTACAGGATGGGGCCAGCTCAGCACACCTCTGCCCCTTTGAGGCTTGTCTAAGGAGTCTGGACAATGCAACCGTAAAGTGGGGGGGTGCATCCTTCAATACACTCCTGCTTCCCTGGGCGACATCCTCCAGACCAGTTCACAGGCCACAGCAGCTTCTCTTGGAGGTCTGCACAGACACAAGCAAGCTTTGAGACAGCCATAGGACATTTCAGTCTCTCGCACCACCCCATGGCTCAGAGATTGCTTCAGAACCCATGGTGGCTTTAGGAAAGGAGAGTTGTTTACAGAAGGCCAGAAAAGAGCATTTTATAATTCATCCAATGAAATAGTGATCAATTGTATAAAATATGAAACAATATCTAGCAAGAAGGTGAAGCATTAACATGATAAAATCATATAGCAAAAGAAAACAGGAAAAAACATCTGTCCATAAAATTTTCACAATTGATAGCTTTGGCTGGTACATCACATGGATATTTTTAACACTGTTCAGTGATGAGGTGGCTATAAATTGCATATTGGTCAAAACGTGTTGAATTAATGGAATAAAGCAGAGAATAATACACAGCAAAAACAGTAATAAGGCCAAACTGTGCAACAAGTAAAACACCATTAATACTAACAATGGTTAACAATATTTTAACCAAGCATATAATAAAGGTAACAGTAACAATAACAATGTCAATTAACAATACTTTAACAAAACATATTTAACCAAAATGTGTCCCAGGCTAGGCCTAAGGATGTGCTCCCAGTCCTTGGGGACTGGGGGGAGAAGGTGGATGTCTACATGAACAAGTACAATTACAAGATGGTTTATATGGACACTTACAAGACCAACACATACATATCATAAGGGAAAATATTCTGGGTTTTGTTGTCAATTGTGGAGCCAAAGATATTGTTCTGGCTTGCTGGAGTTGGGGGTCTGCCTATGCAGCAGGAAAGTGGATATCCATGCCTCCAGCCCAGAGTGCATGTGTGGTTTAGGCCTTGGTACCTCCATCTCACCCCAGACCCCATTAACAAAAGGACCTTCCCCTGATTTGGTGTCTGGTTTTTGCTCATAATACTGGCAATGGAATGACCTAAACCCACAAATTTGTTTTCCTCTCATTCTTTGTTAGTCAAGTTCCTCTTGGTTAGCCAAGTTCCTCTCTACTTAGAAAGCTGGAGCTTCCCACGGAGCCAAGAGAGAGGTGAATGGTCACCCAAAGCAACTTTTCCAATGATAAACAGTACATCCTAGAAATATTAGTAAGACAGTGAACATCAACACTATGTAAAAATTTAAATTTACATAAGAATCCCACATCGTGACTCAGGATATCTGCCTCCAGGGGGGTTTACCTGCAAGAAAAAGGAAAGAAAAGCTTCTCGGGTCATTTTGAGAACTGGAAGTGGGTTATAATTAGAAACATGGGATAATCCACCTTGTATTAATTTTGGGCTCCTTTCCATGAGCATCTTTGGCTTTCCAAGTACACTTGTTTATTGGGGTATCCAATACCAATGGTGCTGCTCCCACTGTGGGGAGTTCGACTAAGACAGGTTGTCCTGGAAAATGAGATGGATTTTTGGGGTAGTCAGGGCCATGTGGGGCTGGCTTGGTGCCCGCAATACCACTGAATTCCCAGAAACTTCACTGTCTGAGATGGTCCTTGGATTTTTGCAGAGTTAATTTCCCAACCCTTCTGTTTCATATGATCTACATCTAATTCAAGAAGTTGTATTTCCTCCTCCTCATTTCCTTGAATCAAAATATCATCTATATATGAATCAAAATATCTATATGGCTTAATTGTGAGGAGGAAGCTGTATTTCATTTAAGTGTTTTCAGCTACAATTCTATGACATAGTGGGGCTATGCAGCCACCTTTGTGAAAGCAAATTGGTCCCAGTGCTCCTTTGCAATTTTTGTAAAAAATGAATTCGCCAAATCTATTACAGCGTACCAAATTCCTGGATGTTTCTGAACTTCTGTTAAAGTGGCAGTGTCTGGCACAGCTGCTTCAAGCGGTGCAGTATGTTTATTTACTTCTCTAAAATCCACTGTCATTCTCTAGCATCAATCACTTTTCTTGACAGATCACACTGGACTGCCACCTCAAAACTTCTACATCTAATAAATCTCTAATTGTCTGTGATATCTCTTCATGTCCTCCCAGAATTCTGTATTGCCTCATTGTAACTTAGTTGCAGCTGGGATCTGCACAGGAGGCATTTTTACTTTGCCAACCGTAACAGGTCTGGCACTAATACAGAGATTATACTGACAATCTGAAAGATTTAAAGTTAGTCTTTTTAGAATTCTATACCAATTATATATTCAGGAATGGGGATGACCATGACTGAATATAATTGTTTTGAGAGGTTTCCTATTTTCATTTCTGTTTATGTTTGTACAGCTTTTATTTTCCTCCCAAACCTGTACAGGTTATCCTTTAAATTTCCTGGGGTTCCCATATATTAAGGAGGCCTCCACTCCAGTGTCATTTAGGGCCTTTACAGTTTGTGGGGACCAGTTGTTTTAAAGAACAAAACAAAACAAAACAAAAACTTTAAATCAACAAACAGACAAAACAAAAACTAAGTTCTACATGGGGCTGTTGGTCCTTCTGCACCCACTGTCCTGGGGCTTGGCCATTAATTCATATGTGCTGATTATAATACTGATTCACTTCCCTTGCCTCCCACAAAGGGTACAATTCAGAGAACGGTGCCCAACCCTCTTTCACCCCCAGAACCGGTGATCCACTCACGGGGGCCCTCTGCAAGCAGCTGGAGGGTCCCGTCGTGGGTCAAGAGGTGGCGCCGTAAGCTGAGCTGTCCCTGCCGCCTTGACCTGTGAATTTTGTACCTTTTTGTTGGATTTATTCAGCCCTCTCTGTTTATATATCTCCCACAATTCTGGGGTCAGAATTCCATCAATTTTATCATGGGGCATACCATCCTCTAGTAAAGCAGTAAACTTTTCCTTACAAGAAATCCTGTTTTCACTGCCTTTAGGGCTATCTCGAATATCTCGATTCTCTGAACTCCTTCGGGGGCTCCTCTCATCAAAGTCACATAACTGTTGCACTTCTTCAGTTACTTCATCCAGGGGATCCCCCATATCATTAATGCAGAGGGGCATAATTACATTTTTATATGACGGTGGAGCGGTTTTAATCACTCTGTTTCTCATAGTGACTGACAAAGGATATTGCATTAAAAGGTCAGTATTTCCTAAAAATATAGCTGCTTTCATCCCTTCCTCTTTCATTCACTATATACAGTCTCCCAAAGTATACCACTGACGGTCAGATGCCAGCCTGACATTTTCTGTAGGATATTTGGTATTACATCCCAGTGCAGCCAACGCTAAAAAATTGATATCCTGATCATTATTTTGAAATGCGTCTTGAACAAACAAATCTGAACTTAAAAATCTTTTAGAATCTCCTGCGTCTAGGGTTACCCCTGCCACTACCTGATTGTGCAAACGTACCGTCCAAGAGAGCAGGGATTCCCCTGGTTTCTGCTTAAATCTTTCAATTATGTCATTTACTTCATACTGTGTATAATCCTCTACCATATCCTTTCTCACAGGTAGCCCAGTATTAGGATCTCTACCAGGATCACACTGCACACCCGCTTCTGCAGTCACTACATGAACTTTCTTACAATTCACTTGCCCTCTCCTTCTGCTATATTTATATTGTGCTATTGCACTGCAGCTTTCTCTGCCACTGTCTAATAAGTATCCAGCTTATCAACAAGCAACTTATTCTGGCATTGCAACATCACTATTTGACTCTGCAAATCACACGTCTGTTGCTCCATCTGGGAGTGCTCTAACAACAGCTTCTCTTTACTCTGGTGTTGATTTCTATATGCAGTTTACAAAATTCACCCTTGTTTATTTGAATTTGTAACTTCTTTTCTTTTTTTAATAGGTACCTTTTCATACAATTTAAAACATCCAATTACTACTTTAAATAATGGCATTTTTGTCGTATCCCACTTCTGACACCAATTTATGTTTTGCTGATTAGGGATACCAATTAAACTCAGACACCAGAGTGAAAAGAGCAGGTGTATTTTACTCAAAATAACTGAATAATGTAACAGAATAATACAGAAAACATACAGTAAGAAAAGACAGAATAGTGCACCTAAAGCAAACAGGAAAATACAGGGTAATGCCTCAAATCATTACTACCAGAGAGAGAGACAAGAGTGATTAGGAAAGATCCATCACCACTTGCACACGTTCCCATCACCCAGACCCGCAGATGCTGGGCAGCCCCGGTTACAGCGAGGGTTTGGAGAGCCCGTCCCGGCAAGGGGGAAATCCTACGCGGTGCGTCCACCCGTAGCTGAGGCGTCCAAAGTCGCTGTGAGCGGGTCCAGCCTTATACACCCCCAAATCAGCAAGCCAGAATAGCTGGCACCTTTGTTTTGAGCGGGAATATCTGGTTTCACTCTCACATGAGATTCCCCCAGAGCCTGGCCAGGGCTCAAGGGAGAAGCTAAGGGAGTTGCCCTGCTTATCTAATTTATTTATGTTCTCTTTGGAACAAGGCCACCCGTCAGGTCCCAAGGCC